GTGCTTGCTCATAGTTGAGTGGTGTGTATGTGTGTCAACTAAAGGTGTCTACACACCGAACGCAACAGCGATGCGAAACACGATTTTTCCCCTCTGTTGCAGTGTGTCTGTTGCAAGTGATTGCATGTACCTTCACACCGCATGCGACAACAAACCTGTTTCCTGGCTAGCGTATGCGCACTTTTCTTTTGTATATAGTTTTTGTTCCACAGCTCATTTTATCGTTATTTTTTGTATTTAAAAAATTATTTTACACATATGAATTATTTTTTATATTTATATTATTTCTTATATTTATATTACTTTATGATTTCATTACAAGATGCTTCATAAATTGTCGAAATAAACTTTGCGTCACATTTTTACAAATATTGTATCAATAATTTATACGAAATTATTTATTTTTTATAATTTTTGTCTTATAATTTTGTCTACTAATTTTTAATACGTTACTAATCTTTTTATGGGAAAAAAATTCATTTTTTCTGAATAAATTTTTCCGACTATAACACGTATTTTTATTTTGTTAAATAAACTAAATTGCTGGAATATTAAACAATTCAAATTAAAAAAGTTAGGGAAAATGAAAAACAGAAATTATTTTATTATCAAAAGGTGATGTTAGGAAAAAAAAAATTTTTTCCCAACATTGTTGTGAACAATATTTTGAATATTACAAATATATCAAGTTTGCAACTTAACATTTTATATAGACGTGATAAAAATGAATTTATTTTCATATGCAAATGCTTCAATATAGTTTTTTCTTACATTCGCAAGTTGATAGGAATTTATGACATTAAAATTTCCCTTTACGGAAGTTCCTTATGGAGCCATTTAAGCAACATTTTAAAATGGACACCTTTTATTATTTAGTGACCCTTTATAATATGATCATGAGATATTACTTTATGAGAAGTACAAGAATGTGCGGGTGTTTTTCTTTTTTCATTTATGTTTTACTTTTGCATAAAATTACATTTTCCAAAAATTGTATATAAAAAAAAAAGGATTACATTGCGTTTTGAATATGCTACATTTCTTTTTCCTGCTGAATGGTACTGTCGCATTAAGCCAGGCATAGTCAGTCTGAACAGGACAACTGGTAGCTATATTTTATAACACTCCAAATAAAAATTCCTGGAAGATTGGTTATGGTACCTCAGCTATCAACAATAGACCCATGAAGCCTATGGCGTAACAAAAAATTTATTAGTAATTTCTGTTCTTGAATCTGGTCCATTCACTTAATTGGCGATAAATTCCAAATATGTTCCTTAGCTTCCTTGATTTTCTAAACTCCCAAAAATTTCTCATAGCAGTAAAATCAAATTATTATTTTTGTTTCTATGAAAATATTAAAGTAGGAAAAAAGGCGTTTTTTCCCATCATTTCTAATATACCCAATTTTATCCGATAGTGATGAACAATACCTTCCATAGAATAACCAATTTACACTAAAAAAAAATACAGCGTTTTTTGTTCCATAAAAATGGTTTATTTTTTAAGCTAAAGATCGATCTGATTTCATGCAAATAAAAATTTAAGCGATTCTGTTTATGAAGTTGATTATAAAAAGAAAATTTAAGGACCCGGTTTTGAGCACCATTGCCGTATTTAAAAAATTTTATATTATCAGAATTTCGTACGAAATTTTTCAAAACTTTTCATTCAAAATTTTAGTTTTTGTAATAATTGCCCATTGATGGGTCCCTTCATCATTCGAGAGTAGAATTGAAATGAAAATAATTTTTGTAACAATTAATGACGGTTTCAACTAATTAAAAAAGTTTGCCTTTTTCTCTTTAGCGATTGCTTTGCATTTCTTTATGAACTTTGCTTCATAACTTTTCGAAAATCTTTTCTAATAAAACGAACGTTCTAATTTTTAATAATAACTACTTTTTAATAGCAAATAAAAAAAAATTGTTCTTCAAAAAAAAATATGCAGTTAAAAATTATTAAATAAAAAATAATTAATTAAAAAATACTGCTTTCTAATCTTTTAGCAACGCTAAAATGCCGCCACCTTTTCCTTATTTCGCTGAACATTTTATTTTTATTTTTTAATGATTCAAGAGTAACGCTTTAATTTTTTATTCATGGTTTAATAAAATCACTTTGAAGCTATCTTAACTAGTATAAAAAGAATTAATTTAAAAGGCTTGATATTTATTTGAATGTCAAGTTATGTTCTGGCAAAATTCATAAGTGATTCTCTGTCTAATTGACTATTAATAGTTATTTTACTGCCACTCGAGAATATCTGCAATAAAGAGCAAAAAAAAAGAAGCGCAAACAAATATGTATTTAAATATATATTCTGTTCACTTGTGCATGAACAATTAAAAATGTGAGAAATAAACTAATAGTAAAAAAGATTTATACTATTAATTTTTCGCAATTAATTCAAAATACTTTTAGAGAATTAATTAAAGAAAAGTATCTATTCAATGCATTTTTCATAATTAACAAAACGCACTAAAATAGCTTAAACCCAAGTGAGATTAGCAGATTGATCCCACTTTAGAATTTTAAAAATTTATCTCAGGAATTTATGAAATTATAAACACTGTTTCTAAATCAAGACCTTTCAATATATATTTTTAATCAATGTTCTTAAAAATTTATATTATTTTATATATATTTAATAAAAATTTCAACGAAGATTTATATAAATAAGAACATTTAAAATACATTTTTGTAATACGAGTAAAAATGTCTTTTAATGTAAAAATCTTTCAAATATATTCAAATATTTTATATAAACATAAGTCACTATGTTCTGAATGACGTTAACATTAAAATCATACGTGATTTCATCGTATTTTCCCTTTGAGATTAGAAATATATAGGAATCGGATTGACTCTCTGAGTCTGCAACAGCGACGAAAATTAAACTCCATCCAATTCTTGAAACCAGTGCGACGGCGATCGCTGGTTGTTGCAACAGAGGGAGGATGAAAGAAGTGCGCATGCGCGAAGTCATTGCAACATGCGATATGTTGCTGTTGCAGTCGGTATGGAGACTCCTTAAGAGACTTCCTATTAGGATTTTAAAAGTCTGTATGGAAGTAATACTGGGCTGCGTCTCGTCCTCTATCAGAGAAGTCTCAACGATTGGTGGTGGTGATGTCTCTGGGGTTACTGAGCTGCAGTCTGTAAGCGATCGCTGGGTCTGAATCGGACCATGAAATCTGTATGTCTGTTTCTATATTAGACTACTTCAGTTTCTTTTTCTTGTTCTTCCTTTCCTTGGATGTAGAGGAAGGTGTTGACAAATCCTCGGTCTGAGTAATCTTATTGACTCGTTCTAGAGTGACTGTTGTAGCTTCTGTAGTCCTGATGACACGTGTTGAGTTTTCAACAGTCTTCTTAATTCTAAAACTTTCAGAGAGTTCGAAGATGGAGACGAAGCAGTAATTGAGTTCTAGGCAGGCTCAGAAGTTTTGTCTGTCTTTGAAGTTTCAGCAGGTGTTGTTGTTTCTGACAGCATCAGTATTCATCTCTTCTCATCTTCATTGTTTCATTCAGATACACATACTTCATTTTGAACTGATTAGCATGGTTGAAATGTTAATATCGAGTAGACCTATTTGCAACTATCTTTCAGGATTCAGTTGTACTTCCTTCCTCGGTGATTATCTGGTCGAATTCTAGGTGATTGCCGGCTAATTTGTCTCATTGATTATAGCATTATTTCTTTGAAACCATCTGGCATTGGTGGTTTCTCCCCAGTATAATATTTTGTGGTGTAGCAATTATTGTGTAATATTTTGAGTTTGTTATCTACGGCATTACACCAGGCAGCCAATGCTTACTTCATTATAGGTATATATAATCACTGGCTACAGTCAATGAAGGGATTGGTGAGCACTTTGTTTTGAATGAAAATTATTAATGATTTTTTTGTTTGAATATAAATGAGGCGATAAAATTTAGATGATCAGATAGTTTTAGCAATTTTTTGCTTTTCACTTGTATTTTCTGCAAACTAATCTTCATGAAAAAATCTTGATTGTCATGAATAAAGAATTAATTTGATTTTTAGAAGAAAGCATGTGTTTTTACAAAATTTTTATATTTTGCTGCATATAAAAACGGATGAGAGATTTTCGAGGAAACTCGACGACATTTGAAGCAATATGTCAGATTTAAGATAATTTTATGCTCTCAAAGAAATTGAGATTTTTTGAGGATAGCTATTGACGTTTGAGGATTCTGTTCCAGTTGGAGGACGTCTGCTCATTTTACCTATATACGCTATTTCCACAAGCAAGTTTAAACTTTTTTGGTAAACCTAAGATTTCTTAAACCGGTTTTTCAAGCGTTTAAGCTTTCTTAACTTGTTAGTAGAAACAGGACATCAGAGGACATGCATTATTAATAACAATATCCACGTGATGTACAAAATTAATCATCATACGCTTGAATTCCAGCCTGAGCCGGAGTTATATTTTCGCGACAATGCGTGACAGGAGAATCGAAGATGTAAAATAAAGCATTAGATCTCTTTTTACTCATCATGCGCCTGGTGTCAGGTCTTGGGTAAATAGGGCGTCACATTCTATTGAGCATGCTAGCCTGTATGTGTATGTTAATAAGTAAATATAATACATACTGCTAAATTTTTGAAAGATAAAGACTTTTTATTTTATAAAGAAAAATCGAACAAGCTGAATCGAAACTCTGCTGCACGCGCTTGCGCGTGTTATACCTGCGTAAAACACTCAAATAACGACTCACGTATCGCACCTGCTGCATAACCAGAACAGTACAATCCATACACAACTAGTCATTCACACAAGATCAACACAAAGATTGAAGCCACAACTCCTGTTCTTAATTAAAAGCTTAGTGTTTTTGATATAGAAGAACATTGCATTCTACTAATCTGACGCACATACCGCATCAGCCACTCAAAATCTCTATCATCAACTTTGAAATAAATCATGACAGTCGTCAGTGTGATCAAAATCTAAGTCATATTTGAAAGGTCAACAACACCACACGATTGTTAACCTTAACTGTGGATTTCAGGACCATCCAGAGATCTTGACTTGTTGTGTGAGTTTAAGATAGAAAGAAAAAAATGCAAGATTTTAATACCATATGGTTGTTAATCATATGAATCAATTTCCTGATAACGTTTTGTTTTATTGGAATACTAACACGAAGTTATAGATTTTTCTTTAGTTCTAAGTATTTGTTGTTTTTTACCATTGTTGGAGTATTATCTACCCAAGCAAGAAAATAAAGTCCAATCTCTCAGTATCTATCTTAAATTTTCTAATGGTAAATTTATTTACTCATATTATCCATAAAAGTTATAAATTTTGAAGTTTCTTCGAAAGTTTTTGTCTCATTATATCTATTCTCTGCTATAAATTACTGATTTCTTAATGTTGCTACCACTTTCAGAGGAAAATGTTTGGTTTGTTTATCTTAAAATTTTGACAAAATAGTTCACACAGCTATTTCAAAGTTCATGTTTATTGTAGTACTACAATCAAGTTATATTCTTCACGTTTTGACCTTAGTATTTGTAATTTGTGTTTACAAATTGATGTAGCTATTTGTGAACAAGTTTCTAAAAAGTTAAATATGTGTTCTGTAGTAAATTTTCTGAATGATTTCTTAAACATTCCACAAATTATTTACACTTTTTAATGTGAGTGATTAGTGTGCACATTTTTCATATTATATAGAACGTATAATATTGCATAAATAATATCATAATTGCAAATGAAATTGCTGACTAAGTTATGCAACATTTTAAAATTGAGTTATAATAGATCGCAAGAAATATTATGTAATTTAAACTTTTCCAAAATAGTATATTTTGAAGTTATTTTAATTAAAAAAATTACAATAAGCTTTTTTTAATTTTGTAGTACTAAAATATTATAATATTTATTGGATACTGATTTTTGGAATCTTAATTTTTTGTTAATAGCTTTTTCCTATTTGGTGGATGAAAATTAATATAGCATCCAATTTTAAAAAGACTATTTTCGAATCATAGTGAAAGTTCACATGAAAGTGCATTGAAGTTAGTGATTTTTTAATGTGTTATAGTTAACTGAAATACATATTTCTAGTGTTTAAGGCGAAACTAAATATACTAACTTCTTGCAGTTATTTTCTTTTAAAGAAATGTATTGTGTATATGACAAAATATTTAAAAGAATAAAATGTTATCGGTATTAATGGCATGATTATAAATCTCGATTGTAGTTGTAGTTTTAAAACTGTTTTTTGTCTTTTAATAAGACCATGTGTGTAAAGATGTAGATGTGACATAATTAAACGGGTGTAGTCAGGACCTGATGTAGAAATCTGGTTTATAAGCACATAATTGGTTGTAATTTTAAGCAAAATTTGCACCATTGCTAACAAGATGTTTTTCAGTTAATTGTACCATGTAAATTATGAGACTAGTATATTTGAGCTAATTTTTCTATTTATTATAACCTTTGACTCTATTAGATAATTCTTTAGGGAAAAAAGAATAATAAATAAATGTTTGTTACATGTAAAGGCCCTCAAATATGTAGAGGCCCTAGTGCTTGATTTTAAGGCTTTTTAGGTCTTGAAAAACTCTGCGTTTCGATTCGTGTTCTGTTCTAAGTGGACAGAAAATAATCATGCTAAGCTATTCACATACCCTTGCATGACTAATCATAGAACAATTTTTTACATTCGTATTGGTGCAACAATAGGTAAAAAAATTTGTGTTAACTTCATATATATTGTGTAGGATTGGTGAAAGTAATTTTTTTATAAGCCTAACCCACATGTGTGTTTTCAGAGAAATTCTGATTTCTTAACATGTTTCTTAGCTAAATTGGTGTTTAAAATATATTTTATTTTTCTTAGACATGTATAGAGATTTAAGGTTTTAATAATTTTTTATAATATTAATAGTTTCCTACTATTAGAGTATCATTTATGGGGTTCACACCTGTATGGCGACAATTGTCATCAAATGTTCTACGAATTTCACCAGAATCATGTGCATAGCTACTAGCTTGCTGTCTTGAAATGTATTTAGGTTTTACAAAATCTTTTTTTCTTTCTTAACTTAAATCTTCAATCATTATGAGGTATTATGTTGAAACCTAAATAGTTTTTGTGTGTTATAATGGCATTTAATGATTTTTGATCTTTACTGTAATATGAATTATGTATTATAAAGTTGGATTTTTTTCTTCTCAAGTTTGTCTTATATAGAATTTTGGAAAGTTAAATAAATACCTAGGAAGTCCTATTGGACCACTACTCATACAAGTAGTAACACTTATGAGATGTTTAAGAAAGATGTGATATTCTATTTTCCTTTTGTTTTTGAAAATAATATAATCTAGTAAAATGCTCTAGCAAAAAAGCGAAATAGTCTATTTTTCGTTTTAGTATTTTTAGATCATTTTGTAGCATTTTGGCTACATTATTACTTGTGGTTAAAAATTATTACGGTACATTGTTACTGTTAATAAATAGCCTGCCAATAAAAATAAATACAAGGAGTTTATAACCACCAAGAGAAAACTAAGACAAAGAAAGGATTAATGCTGTCAGACAAAACATTTATTCAAATCTCTGTTAGAGATACATATTAAGAATTAGTTATATGTTGCATCTTAGAACACTCTTCAACCCACCCTAAGCTTCACCTGACAGATCGGAAGAAGATAGAAAGCAAGTTCTTGTTAATATGCGCTATGTTTGTGCTTAGACTGTTCTCATGGCCTTGTGACCTTTGTTTAGGCTATACCATCATGAACGTTTTGCTTAAAAACATTCACAGAAACCGTGCACATAATATACTGCATATTTATAAATGTTTTCTAAGTTAAAAAATGTGTGTCATATAATTCCTTCTCTTACATAAGCTAACATGTGGTGTTTGTTGCTTTCTAATTGTTTACTTTTTTTCTCTTTAAACGAAAAGATTTAGAGGAAATTTTTTTATATAATTTGTTCATTGCCTAACATTATAAAATTTTCCATTTTAGTTCTTCATAGAAAATATTCTAGAAATTGCAGATTCTAAAACTAAAAAGTCCAAGAAGTCTAAAAAAATGGAGAAGATTGAGAAGGTAAATATTTTTACTTTTATGCATTGAAAATATTTATCATAATGTGTAAGTGTAATATTTATTATTATTGTTGTTATCCTATTGGTTTTGGTATTCATCTGATTTTAGAATGTATCTTGATAATTATATAATGTACTCTTAAGACAAGGTTGTTTATATCCGGGGTTGTGGAATACTCAAATATGTTTCGCATAAACTCTACCCATTGCTTATTTCAGGATTTTGTTTTTTTAAGTGATTAATTATTCTGTCTCTCAACTCCCAGAGTAAATCTTGCTAAATTAACTTGCTACAGTTTCTAAACAAAGTAATTTGTTAGAATTTATTAAATGCATAATAAAACAGAAGGGGCCTGCCTTTCCTTTTAATAGGTACTACAGATCTTTGAACTTTTGATTGATGTAATTCATTGGGTTACAGTTTTGCTGTATAATCTCTCTTAGAAATCTTTTTGTTTATACTAGAAAAATACTTATGCAAAGGTGTGCTTTTCACATTTTTCTATTTAACATTTTCGCAATTTATTCAACCTAAATCCATTTTGATGTACCATCTGTCCATAGCGCATGAAAGCGCCAATCATTTTACATGTTTAATGAAGTACTAGCGAGTCCGCATGTACGTCTACTGAACTGGGTTCGGTGAGATTATTGCACTCTCACTTACGAAATGCAACTCTGTTGCATTTTGTAAGTGAGAGTGCAATGATCTCAATTTAGAAATCAATAATCTCAAAGATATTCTCAATTTCAGGCTTCATTTTCCACCCTCTAATATCACACCAAAAAATCTCTTGATCATTTTATAATGGCTAATATAATCACAAAAAGAGTTTTTTGTCAGAAACTAGTTATTTTATCATGATCATGCAAAATCTTTTAAAATTATTTTGGCTTTTTGTTAATGTATATAGCGCTTAAAAATATTTTTTGAATGCTTGAAAAGTAAGTACTTTAAAGGTGCTTATTTTTTGTCAAAAGACTTGGCTACGCAACCTGAAATAAATACCTTTTCTGCTTGCATTGTAAAAAAAAAAATTATAAATAATGTAAAAAAACAATATGTGTTGATAAATTTGCTACAATTATGGTGATTTCAGCTCAGACTGCTGTCGCAAAAAAAAGTCTTTCAAAAAAGAATATAAATTACTGAATGTTTTTAAAAAAATAAGTACACTCTTTAGTTAAAAAAGAACTCAAAAGTTTGAATATCCTGGGTCTTTTAGACCTGCAGCTTTCAAAGTCTAGCACAATCACTGTCAGAGTAATGAATTGTTTTTAGAAAAAAAGTTTTTTCACAAAAATTTAAATTTATTTAAATTATTCACAGAAATACATAATGGAAAATTTTCAACAAAATAATTAATCAAGTTAGAAATTTCAATTTGATCATAGATTTTTAAAAGCTTAGAATAGAAAATAAATAGTTTCTTGGTAAAAAAATGGTGTTTATTGGGGAAAAATAAATTAAAAATAACAAGTAGTGTTGGTAAAACTTCTAATGAAAATTTTAAATTTGTTTTTTGATACAGTGTCCATTATGTTGTGAAGAGTTGGACCCTGACGACTTGAATTTCTTGCCATGTCCTTGTGGTTATAAGGTAATACCAACGTTTATTCTCAATGCTTCTTTGTTTACTTCCTGTTCCTGTATTTTGTTTTCTTCTTGGTATTTCACATTATGTTTACTATATTTTGAAATTTTTTTTTTTTTTTTAGTTATGTTTAATACAAAGGAAAACTAGTTTAACAGATGTTTGTAATTTTAGATTGGATTAAGTTTTTTGCTAATTTGTAATGTACTTTTTTTATTTGTTGTCTTTACCTTTAATTTTATTTTTAGTAAGTATGGAATCAGAGTTTTGGCAAGTATTTATGGTCCAATACAGCTCTAAACTGTATAAATTACTTAACCATGCAAAACCTATTATAATTCTGAAAATAACTAAATTAATCTTGCTCCAACTTTAATCTCTATTTAGGTTTTAACTAGATTAGATTTTTTTTTTCATTATATGCTATGTTCAAAGCAGGGTTGGCAAGGTTTAATACAAAATGGATTAATCCATGGTTTAAACCGTCCTGTCCAAAACTGCCTTAAACTGTCCAAAACCCTTTTACTCAAATTATGTCACAATTTTATCTGAACAATATGTAAAAGGTAAAATAAACATAAAACTAATAACATATTGATAATTAAATCTACTGGAGAATATTTGTTTTTAAAAGTATAATGTTTTATTAATATTGTTTGACTCTTCAATTTAAACATTAAACAAAGGAAGATTAATCAGTAATCAAGTTCAATTGGTCCTCTCATTCAATAGTACATAACTGAAGTTTGACCTTGCCATACAGGTTAAGCTATTAGGGACTAAGTGCTTGGTTAGTCATAAACAGGTTTATTTATCTATAGTACTATTCAAGAATACTTTTATTTCATTCATGTTTGATTCTTTTAGCATAGTGGTGATATATCACCAGTGTCAGTAACTGAAAACAATGTTATACCCTTCAAAACTGTTAATTCATTTTTCAGTCATTTTGTATTTCCAATTAACTAATCCAATAAACTAATATATTTAGATTTAAAAACATTTTTTTTTAACAGATGTCTTTTTTATATCATCCTGTGATGCAGAAATTATAAAAAAATTTAAAAAAAATATTGTGAAAAGTAAAAGGTTAATTTTTAAACAAATTTAGTATTTTTTTTAAAATTATTATTATTACTCAATATTACATTATTTATCCTTATGCAAAAACATTATTAGTATAAAAAACATATTTATTTAGATATTCACTTTTGTTGTTCAATGAATTGTGGGGCTTCAAAAAATATAAACCTTTTCCTATTATATTATATTATTTTTCTTTAATAAGTTAAAAGTAAATTGTATAAAAAATATCAAATATTTATTGATACATGTAATTATTATGTGTACAATGGTTACACCTATAGAATTTTTACCTTTTACTAAAGTTCAAGGTTTTGGACACTTTAAGACAGTTTTATCCAGTTTAAGACAGTAAAACCCACACGTCCTGTCCAAAACCAGTTAGGACGTCCAAAACGCCAACCCTGATTCAAAGTAACTGTATACATATTGATTTTAAGGAAATCTGAGTTTTGGACTGTAGATTTATGGTTCAAAACTGTAGATCAATTATCAAAACATCTAAAAAATAATTCTAACGGTAATTAACTTTTCTTGCTCCAAATGTAACCACTATTTGGTTATTACTTATGAAGAAAGTAATATCTATCTATGTTTTTTATCTTTTAGTTTTAAATATAATTTTTTATTTTGCTTTAAACTTGAAATCCTAAAGCTTATTAAATTTTTTAGTGTTAAATATGAGTGGTTTGCATGATTAAAATTCAAAGCAAATAAAGTTAGTTGCAGGGTATCTACGCACTTGGAAAGTCATAAAAAATCATGGAAAGTCATGAATTTCGGTATTGAACAAAATTTGTCGTGAAATGTCATGATTTTTACTATTTTTTTAAAAAAAATCATGGATTTAGGTCTCCGAAAAATCTAATTTTTAAAATGGAATCTCCCTCCCCCCAATTTCATCCTGTTCCAAATATCTGAATTTCTAACAAAATCACCACTCAGTATATCATTTCTAGATCGAATTATCCTTTAAACTCTCTTCTGTGATTTAAGAATTTTTATTTTTTTTAAATTTTATCAATTTAAAATTCTAGTTGACGCAAATCAGTGATTGGCGAATATTTTTTATTTCAAAATGAACAGAAAAATCAGGAGTATTTCTTTCCTTTCTGATGAACAAGAAAAGTATCTTTAGAATATAATTCTGCATGAAAAAAAAAATTTTACTTATGTATTTTTTTCAGCTATTTTATTGTTTCAACTCTTTCCTTACTCTGTTTTTTAAGTTTAAAATCTATAAATATGAAGATGAAGAGTATAATAGTTTTGGTTATGCCTATTTCGAATAANTTTACTTTTGTATTTTTTTCAGCTATTTTATTGTTTCAACTCTTTCCTTACTCTGTTTTTTAAGTTTAAAATCTATAAATATGAAGATGAAGAGTATAATAGTTTTGGTTATGCATGCCTATTTTGAATAATGTTATTATAATGCTTTTTTAAATTTATTGTTGCGTTTTTGTTGGAGAAAACAGCAACTTTGTTAAGTCATGAAAAATTCTTAGAATTAGTCATGAATTTGAAAATCTAAAATGTAGCAGATACCCTGTAGTTGGTATGTCTCATGTATTCAGAAATTGTAATTTTGATGATGCAATTTTCAATATTTTTTAAAAATGTAGGTTTGTCTTTTCTGTTGGAATACTATAAGAACTAATGAAAATGATCCGAAATGTCCCCTGTGTAGAAGAGTAAGTTAACTTGTTTTTCATTATCTTTATAGTTCTTCTCTTTGTACTATATCAAATGAATCTATCTTTTCAGGTATTTTTATTCAATAATATAACTATAGAAAATGTGTGCTTTGTTGACATTATTTTAATTTAATATTTAATTTTTGAGGGTTATTTGCATATTGAAATTTATCAGATGAGCAAAAAAAAGATGAAAAAATGGTTTTTGAAGCTTATTTGGAAGATAAAGTGTTAAAAATTATTATTTTTTTGAGGGAATCTGTATAAAAAATCTGTTTTTAAATATTTAATAGTATTGATTTTAAATTTAAACCAAGTCTTCTAAAATTAGTTTAGTATCAGTTTCCTATATATTATTGATAATGTTAATTTATACAGTACACTCTCGATTATCCGTGCTCATTCCGGAGTCACACAAAAAATATAAAGAGAAACATTTTCAAGATTAAAAAAAATTGATTCATGAAGTTATAACACTACCAAATTTTTGGAAGCAATATTCATTATTGGATTGCAGTATATGGAACATCAGCAGAATGGTCAAAGGTAAAATCCTCTACGTTATCACAATCTTGGAGAAAGATGATACCGCTTGATGAACAATCCTCTTCAGATGTTCAAGAGAAATATGATAACAGTATTCTCGAACAAGCAAAAGAAATCGAAGGTTTTGACATTCTTGATGAAGAAAATTTAGAAGATTGGTTTCAAAGTGATGCATGTGAGCCTGGCTTCCAGTATTTGACTGATGAAGACATCGTTATGTTGTTAAATCAAATAGTGGTGATAGTAACTGATGCAGAAGTTGTAGTAACTGAATGAAATATAATTTCTCATTCTGCTGCTCTGTTGAATCTTTATTAGATTTGATTACGGTGACATTACTGCGGTTCGTAAAATATGTGGATCGCTATATGGCGAAGATGCATTACGCATTTTTTAATAAGGAAAATTCCTAGTTTGATGTTATGCATGCAAATGTCAGTAATTTTTATATTTTTTGTACTGATATTGAATTTTTCTTTAATAAAAGGAGTTTTCGGATTATCCGTGTTTTTCGATTGTCCGTGCGACCTGTCCCGGTGATTAACCCCGATAATCAGGAGTGCACTGTATTTACATTAAGGGGAAAATTATATCTAAAATTAATTTTGGGCAGATATTTTAATAAAAGCAAGTCAGGTTTATTATGAACACTATGTCATTCATGTTGATGATGGGAAAACTTTGCTTAATGAGTTTTTTTTTTAATCGGAGTAATTTTATGCAGATTTAAAAATATTTTGTTATCAGTTCCACTAAATGAAATATTTGTGTTTCCCCATATTTAATTTTCACCTTATTGCAGGATACTAAATGTAAGAAATAATATTTTTATTTTCCTACAGACCTATTCAGAAAATCCTGCAAAATTTGAGCCACTTTCTGCTGAACAGTATGTATTTCATTAGTTTTAATTGCAGTTTATTTTATTGCTTACTGAGTGTATCCCAAGAAATTATAGTAAATTTATTATGTATAAGGAAATGTGCGTCTTTCGGGCCTACTAAACTAAATAGTGAAATTTCTCTGATTTTGACGTATGAGAATATCTTCCTATAACAGAATAACAGGTATTTAAGAATCTTCATAAGCAAAATATCTAGGTTTCATACATGTGCAAGGATCTGTTCAGGGAAAATTTACTACCGTTGAGCGTAACCTTCACAAATTCCACTTAGGAAAACACAAGATACTTTTTAAAAAAAAGCATGTTTTAAGATTCTCCGCCTCTTAAATTTTTTTTTGTATCCCTATAAAAAATATATATATAAATACCAAAGTTTTTTTTAAATGAAGCAACGAGGTTCTCTCTCTATAAACTATACAGGAAATCAAAATTTGAACATGATTCTAAACATTCAAACATTATCTTTAGCTTTATTGTAAATTTTAACAGACCTTTATTTTTTTATGAAAAATTTTTTCCCCTATGAAACTTTTTTCTCTGTGACCTTATCGAAAATGTTCAAATAATGAAAATAACTTTGATATCTAGTACTGTTAATAGCAAGTTGAAATTTAACTATGGACAATAGATTTTTAAATTTGGATACAATTTTAAGCTCGAAATTTTACAATAGCAAAATTATTTTTCAATATATGGGGAAAAATATATAGAAATTTACCAGTCATAAATGATTTTTATTTGTAGGGGCAATTTTTGAAAATTTCTTATTTTACCATATTTTGGATTTCATTTTTTAATGTTACTTTTAATTTTCACAAATTATGTCTAAATTGTCACAAAGGTACCTCTAAAAAAAAAAACCTGGACAGACCTTAATGTGACCTAGATGTGATTCTTCTGCCAATTTACATAATTTTCCTATTTGTTTTTTAAAAAAAATTCTGCCATCCACTTTTCATCTAGGTTTTGTCAAAGTTCATTGCTGACATGGCAATATTTTCTTTAATTGTTCCTACACTTTCATAGCACTTGCCCTGATTGATCGCATATCTATAACTGCAAACTCTTCGTCATTTTCAGAAACTTTCTGCATTCGCACCCCATTTTCTGCCTTTCTGCAGTGAACCTCGAACCTGTTCTGAAAATACTTTCAAATTTTGTAATTATTTAGATTTACTACTGTATACATGTGTGAGGATGGGTTCTCATTGTCTTGTTCAGACAATAACATCTTGAATTTTCACTGTTCTTCAGCCTGATCGATGTTATATATCTTTAATAAATGATTAAATGCTATGCATGCGATTGTACAAATAAAAAGGATCATATTTTTACCCTATTTTAGATCAATTTGTAATGAAACACTATATTACACTTATGGATCCATTATATTCTAATGACTATACTGTTGATTTTTTTAATGAGTTATAAAAATTGAAAAAAGGGTAAAATCTTATGCATTTTAAGTAATATCTTCGCCATTTTTATAGTGAATATTTCATATCTGAAAAAAATGTCAGTTGCATGTATATTATGCTCTTTAGGCAGTGTGAACACTTAGATTTTCTTGTTTGGCTTCTTTTCTGTAATAAACTGCGTTCATTGTATACACTTTGCTTCACTCTTAGTGTCAGGCATCAGCCAATTCTATTCAGTATTACCTTGTCGTCACCCAATAAGAGACGCCATGCGTTTTATAACCACTGGTTACTTTCACATTTGATGCATGTGCTAGATCTGTTTTGATTTCATCAAAGAAAGGATGTTCTGAGGAAAAGATAATGCGTTTGTTACTTATTTAGAGTTGATTCTAGCATAACTTTACATTTAACAAATTAGCAACATAAAGAATACATATAAGTATTTCTGTATGAAAATTTTGTACAGTATTTAAATATTTTGTAAAAACTAAAAGCATTTCAAACAGTGCATAATACAAATGATCTTATAAAGCAATAAAAGCTAATATATCAAAATTATGTTGATATTGAAATATTTAAAAAAAAAATAACCATTAAAATTTTTCTGATTGTTTTAAAAAAAGATAAAATTCGAAATTTATATTCAAAATACTAGTTAATGTGTTAATTAATAAATGTTTTAAAATCTGCTCTGTCTTACGTCTTTTATTTTTAAGTCAACTTACTCTTTCAAAGTATTTGAGGAACTTTATTTCTTCAAATTATAAGTTTTCAGTCAATTTATTGTTAGAATAATCACATATTTTAACAATGTGGTGCTTGTTTAATTTGCTTCGTAATTAACATACTTGAAAAATATTTATAAAAAAATTTCAATGTATAGATATGTTTTTATTTATTGTATTTCATTTATGCAGGATCATTAAGGTAAAGAATAATTTTTCAATTCATTATTATAGAAATATATGCATTCATATTACTCCTTCATCCTGCTCTACAGCAATTAAAGTACAATGCTGTGCAGCAGCAGCTGTACTGAGTACTTTTGATGCAAATTCATGACTGCCAACTCTACTGATTTAATTAAAATTCTCCTGGTTTTTGTACAATTTTAAAAAATTCCTTAAAATTGAATAAGTTTCCTAAAAAAACTCCTATTGAAATAGCATTTTTGCACTGATTATTGCTTGCTTGAATATTTATATATGTATTACAACTACATAATGAAGCTAGTCTCACTTATAGAAATCAGCTTAAATCATTTTTTGTTCTAAAATGTTTAATTTTTTTTCATTCAGAGCTCCCTTTATAAATTAATTAATCTCTGATGAATTAAATGTTTATTAACTATTCAGTATTATGAGTAAACAATACATATTATTTCAAGTTCATTTATCATCAATCATTACTGTAAAATATTGCAGTTTTTTTATTTTGATGACCTTAAAAACCACTAAAATTTCCTCTGTGTAAAATATATAGTACATTATGCAGCAATTATCATGAAATTTATATTTCGCAAAATCTACTGGATTTTTTCCTACCCATGTTGGCAGCTATGCAATTTGTTTTGCAATAATAACTTAATTTATTATTCCTTTTAATCTCAGTTCTTTAAAGTTTTATGAAGTAGAAGTATTTTACCAGTACTTTACAATTGTCAAATTGTTAATTATTTTTTTTCATTTGTAGATTACAAAAATTAAAAAATAAAAAAAAGCTAGAAGATGTAAAAAAGAAACAAAAATTAGCTGAAGACAGAAAGCTGCTTGCTGATGTCAGGTAAGTTCTTTAACAAATAATTTATGTGCTTATCTTATTCTAAAAGGATACTATTTTTTCTCCTGGGAATGTATTTTATTTGAGATTTTCCTTTCAATTTGTTTTATCCATGGGAACAGCTAGAATAAAATAATTTGTTTATTCTTCATAATATCATCAATAAATGCACAGATTAAGCATATTCTTAATACAAAAAAAAAAAATATGTCTTCTGTCTGTCGTGTTTCTGCATGTATTATAACATTTCTATTAATTAAGGAACATATTCACAAACAGTTCTTAAGTTTAAGCTCTTGCATATATTTAGATTAGTATGAATGCTTGCTAAATTATTGCCATACATATTCAGGTGTAATACTTTGCTAATTCAAGTAAAAGGTGTTTGGATGAATATCGTCTGCATTCATATATTAAATACAATCATTCTAAAAACTGTATGAAATTATTACTTATTTTTATGCAAAGGATAAATGAAGCAATAAAATTATCGTTTTTGCAGTATCATAAGATAGTTTTTTTTTTAGTCAAAAATCATTACAGACAGAAAAAAGTGTATTATAATTAATAGTAATTTTTTTTAGCTATTTTCTAAAAAAAAAAAGATAAAATAAACATACAGCCAAAAACAATTTGAAAGGAACATTTAAAGTATAAGTCCATAATATTACAACAAATTTATATTGACTAATACAAGCCATTTTTTTGAAATTTAAAAAATAGGTTCGAAAGTTTATATTAATAAATAGATTTTTTGTAAGGTTACAAAATATAAATTAATTTAAAATTTCATTAACCAACAGAAACATTGGATTCATTCAAATATAAAATAAGTTTTTATGCAGGAAAGGGGTTTGTTAAATGCTTATATTTCAGAAAAGAGAGAGGATTATGAGCTATGTTTGCATGAGAGGCATAAAAATACCCTTATTTTCGGAATATTTTTAAAATTTACTTTAAAAAATTGGAATGAAATTACGCTAGGAAAATTTAAAATAAAATTATTGCAAAGTTGGGGCAAGAAAAGTAGAGAAAAATTTTTTTTAAAGAATTCCGGAAATCCAGTAAAACATGCTTACGAAATATTTGAATGACCCTTTTATAGAATACAAATTTTTTTAATGAAGCACATTCAAAATGTTGCAGGTAAAGCAGACATTTTCATTTAACTCAAATGATACAAAGGCAGTGGTCAGGGTGTAGGAAGGTTAAAGCTTATGATTAGTATCATACAAAATTTGCCCTATATTTTTTTTGTATTTAAATAAAATACCACAGTTCAATGCACATAGTTAAATTTTTAAAAGACAATAGCTAATTCTATTTCCTTACTATAAACAAGAGCTGTTTGCTTCAGCTTTTATTCAGGATGAATTATCTAAATTTCACAGCTTTACTCTAAAGCATAAAATACATTTTAAACACCATATGCTTAGTAACAAAATAAGTAATAAAATAGGCTGTTTTTTTTTTATTTATTTATTTATTTATATTGTGATTTATATTATAGACATAATAAACAAAATGTTCAAAATTTATACCATTTTAGAAATACTTTTGTTTGTTTTAATTTATTAACGCAGCCTCTTGCAAACATTTCTTATAAGTTGATTAAGAAGTAAAACACTTATTGTTAGTTAATAGTGTGTAAAAAATTAATTCTTCAAAAAAATATTCTTCAAAATATAAATGTTCAAAATTTAAAATACATCTAAATAAAATATTTTCTAAGAATACAAAATATAGATTTTTTGAAAAATAGCTTTGGATAATCACAGAGTATGGATCTAATATCTTTACGCTTATTTTTTTATATTAAACAAAGTCAGCAACAAATTATGTAGGATGGACTTAAGGTTGTGTTCAGGTTTACTTTTGGAGGTCCAACCTCCCTCGAGATCAAAGAATTTTAATTCTTCATTCTAATTTATATAATTTCTGTTAAAATGAATTTTTACTGACAAAAAGTAGGATATACTAGAGGGCTCAACCCCCTGCTTGCTATCACTAGCCAACCCCAACTCCTAAGCAGTGCTCGTTTTACTGAAATTTATGATGCAATAAATATGACTTTTTTACTACCTGACTTAACCCCCCGCGTACGGCTTCCACGATTTGAGCGGGGTATCTGCTTCGTTCCCCACTACAGGTAACAGGGAAAAAGAAATTTTTTCCCTGATTTCAATACGGATCCCGCCATTTCCCCGTGTACGACCATCATCCAAAACCATCATCTGATGCTTATTTTCGCTACTAGGTGGCACTAGAGGGTTCGGGAATTTCGCAAATTATATAGAAAAATTCATTGAAGGAAGATAGTAACACCTACTTTTTAATATAGTAACCAGTAGATTGATGTTTTAACGTTGCATTTTATATCATACTTATAATTTTTGATATTTAGTGGTGAAAAAATCACTTAAAATGAAAAATACTAAACTGAAAGTAACTTAAAAATCGCCCCGTATTTCAGGACCAGAAAGTATAAAAACTGAGCTAAACGTGGAGAGTTAATAGAATTTCTCACTGTCTTTTGAAAGTGATAAATCTGCCACACTAACTCTATTTGCATTTCCCTCACATTGACCCATCAGGGAGTGCAATCAAATGCCTGGTATAGTATTGGCCGTCACTTCAAGATGATTAAAACAAAAATCAATATCTTAAGCTAAATAAAATTCTTTTGACAATTAGTGTTAGCCTCACAAAGCAAAAGCACTGGACAGAAGAAGCAGAGTAGCAGATCTCTGTAATTGTTTATGCTTCATAAATTAATCATTTTCCCCCCTAATANCCCCCCCCCCCCCGAATTTGAGTGAGAACCTTGTTTAAATGCATTAAACTCATTGATGGTTCTGCTGGTAAAAAGTTTTATTTTAAACTGCAGTGTTCTCCGCTTAGCAAAACCGGTTTTGGGAAATAAAAAGTCAAGGATAAACATTATCCTAATTTCGCCCGTTTGTTAAACCGCCAGTAGGTTAAATAGAGCAAATTATTAAATACTTCTTTCTAGTTTGCCTTTTTTAAAAGTTGTCTAATCTATGCAGACTGTTTCAAAAATGCCCTGATAATTTTGAAAAATGTTTTGATTTTTCTTTGACATAGTCTGAAGCCAGAATTGAAGTCAAATCTTAATATTTTATTTATACTTTACTGCACGTTGCAATTTTACGAATTTTTAACATATACTCACTTATGATTTCGATGATAAACAAGAATTATTTTTTTCTCTTCTTACAATTTATGTCTAATTTTAGTCTTTTATTGCTCTCCTTCAATTAAACAGTTTTTCAAGCTTATACTTTTCTCTTTCATTTTAGAGTTGTAAGAAAGAACCTTATATTTGTAAATGAATTACCTCTGAATTTTAGTAAAGATCCCAAATCATACCAAAGGTTTTTAAGTATATTCAAGCAAGCTGGTCATGTAAAGAAAGTATCTGTATTAAACTCATCAAAAAACTATGCAGGTCAAAAAGTAAGTGATCTTTCTTCTGTTGTTTAATGTGTACTATTAAGAGTATTTAAAATTATTCTGTATTGATAAAGTTTGGAAAATAAAAAAGTCCAGATTCTTTTAAGTTTTTTTCCCTACTTCTAAGGATGAGAAAATTGTTCTGCAACTGTTTTTCAATTATACTTATTAGCCAAATTTATAATTGTTTAAATATGAATTTTTATTGCTGAAGATATCTAAGTTTCAGATTTTTATGATTTTTCCCCACTTATCGTCTTATGAATTAAAACTGTAACATAATAGCTTTTAAGAAGTGTAATAAGTTTTACATTTTTATTATAATTCCATTTGTCTCATTTTTAAGTAAAATGTATCACTTATAAAATAGTAAATGGAAGGAATCTTATAAGAACCTTAATAAATTTGTTTTCACTGGTAACTTTTAAAATGCTCTACTTTCTCTTTACTACTTAATTGTTAGTGTCTTTGTTATTTGATAATGAAACATGTTTTATGATATTGTTACAAGAGAGTTGAATTCTAATTCTTTTCAGCAGAAATAAATTATTTTGAGTTGTTCCAAAAATTTTATATATATATTATGTAAAGCTATATGTATTAGTTAACTTTCATGTTTTTTAAAGTGTACAGATGCAGGATCATTAATGAGCTGTATATTTGTTAATGATACTGTAATGTTTATTTTTAAGCATCATTATGCAATATTGCCTTGTGCCACAATGCATGTTAAAGAACAAACTCTATGTGCAGTGCATCCATATTCTCTGGAAAGAAGAAAACCATGCGATTCTCTAGGAATTTGAAAATACCACTGGGAGACCTAGAATTTTATATTCTATAGTTTGTCTAAAGTAGGAACTCCCCGTGCCATTCGTCCGGACTCATGGTGGTGACAATGGTAATGAGGTATAACTATTCTAAGTAGGGGCATGGGGTCACAGGCTCGGATAGGCGAGAGAAAGGGAATCTTTTTCTTTTGTCTATTGTGTTAGCCCTGAGTGAAGAGAAACTACTCTCCCTGAAATCTGCTATTCTTGTTTCCATAGTACCAGGCGGCCTCAGAATTTGTGGCGGGGGAGTTCTTGCAGTAGACAAACTATAGAAATTCTTGGAGTGAAAAAAAAATTATTTTAATTTTTTTTAAATGCATTGAATTTTTGAGAAAAATAAGATTTTTATTTTAAAAGCTATTAATAGTTATACTTAATTACAGTCATTAGTTGACTGCTGTCATGATTTTAATATATTTTTGTAGATTAATTCCTTTAAGATATTTCGGTCTATTGTATTGCTATTATGAAGTTAAAATTCATTTGTTGTTATGAATAAATAGTTTTACTCCATTCTCTGATTTTAGTTTATCAATTTATTGTAATTTAGCTTTATTTCAGCTTTTAACCTTTTCACTACTGGCATTTCAGGAGTACTGACCCAAAAGAGTGACCCTATTCAATTTGTAAAATGAAGTGAGAATTAATTTGGCTTCTCAACTCAGGAGTAATGTGACCCACCTTGACCTTATGAGAATTATTTTTAATTCGCAACTCAGAAGTTATGTGACGAACCTTGTACTAAATGAGAATTATTTTTGGTTCCCAATGTAGAAGCCAAAAGATCCACCTCATTCCACCCACTTGGTAATATTCTGAAAGGAACCTGACCATAACAAGCTAAAGGAAGAATTTTGATAATATGCAAAATAAAAATCCTATGATATACTATTTTGTAGTTATTAGAATTAAAGAATATTTTTAGAGACATGGATTTTGCCAAGGTGTCAGGGAGCATTATTTTTCCACTCTGAAAATTTTTGTTAGGACCATATTGTAAAACTTTTACAATATGTTGGGGGGGGGAATGTTTCTTTCTTCTTTAGTGTGTTTATGGTTGTGGTTTCCTTCCAGTGATAATTCAAAATTGGTTTGATTTCTTTTATTTTATTTTTTAAAATTGTTCATTTTTCAAAAATGTATACCAGCATCTGGGAATTGTAAATGTCAAAGTGTTATATTGTAAATAAAATTTGCAAATGTATAATCAAGAGTTTTTATTGTTGCAGTTAATTATTGATTTGTAGACTTGAAAAGACTAAATAGTTAAAGTATCCTTATTCCCCCCCCTAAAAATTTGTTTCTTTAAGTGAATGATCAAAAGTTTTTAACAGTATATAACCTCATTAAGTTTTTTTTATTTGAAAATTATTAATTAATGTTATTCATATAATTTTGTTTCTTCTTAGTTAAGTTTTTAGCAAACTAATTCTAAGTTTTTAAGGAAATAGAAAACAGCATACTGTTTTAAATTGTTTCTGCTATCTTAATTAATACTTAATTATAGGGATGGTAGTCGTCCTCATATTCCTGATCCTATATTTTTCTTTCTTTCGATACTTGATAAAAGGTTTTGCACTGCATAAAAATTGGCACATTTTCATCATTCTACAAGTTGAATATTTAGTTACTAAGTAGGATTGATTTATTTCAGTTATTTAGTATTATGGAAAATTAGTTTATTATTAAAATTAATAGCAATATTATTGAAGTAATTTGTTTCGGAATTAATCTTTATAATTAAGTTTCATTTGAGCTGAAACATGTCTGTTTCATTAAAAAAAAATGACCTCTTTAATTTGAGTTATCAAGTACCACATTCAATTTAGATCCAGGAAATATTCCCATGTTGCAACACTGCTCCAAGTAATTAGTATTAAATAGTTTTTATTTATTTATTTGGAAAAAAATCTGGATTTTAATTTTATTTTGCTTTCTTACTAATTGGCTTGTCACAAAATTACTGAACTTTTTTATATTTAATTAAAAAGAAATAAAATCTGAATTAATTTAATGTTATAAAATGTTTATAATATTTAGAGAAAATCATTCTTAGAACTAAAAATAAAAAAGAAATCAAGGAATGTAAAATTTAATTTTCATTAATCACTTTTAGCAACCTTTTATTTATTCTCATCATTTTTTTATTTTATTTTTGATTGTGTTCTGGGGTCTGTCTAGGTTTTTCTGAAAGGTACCTATATTGTGAAAATTTAGGCATAATTTGTGAAAAATTAAAAATTATATTAAAAAATCACCACAAAAACATGGTAAAAATATAGACTTATCATTTCTTAAGGGATACAAAAATAAAATTTTAAGCAAAAGTATTTTGTGAAACTACCGTTTTTGCTAAAGTTGAATTTGTGAAATTACCGTTTACGCTAAAGTTGAATTTGTGAAAATACCATTTTACCTAAAATTGAATTTGTGAAGGTACCGCTAAACGGTAGTAAATTCGGCCTGGACAGATCCCTGGTGTTTATTTTGTGTGTACTTCAAGGGGAAAGTTGTTCCTAATAAGTAAAAAAAGGTCTTTGTATAATGTTTACCGAATCCTCGTACGTATGAACTTTAATGAAGAGTTTTAGGACATATGTTTATTTACGTTCAACGTTAAGTGAACATCATTGTAAAATAATTTTGTTCCAGAAGTTGTCTTCATTGTTTCAACAGTTATTCCTCTCAATTGCACAAGGAAGACCAAGAAGTTCTTCCTTTTGATGATGGATAATGTTTAATTATAAAAGAGAATAGATCTTGGTAAGTAGGTCAATATCTAAACAACTTCAGAATTTGAATCAGAAACCAAAATAAATTTATTTATGGTGGATTGCTGGTCACAAAAAAAGCTGCCGTAAATAATTTTTTCAAAAAATTATGAATGTGTTTCTGAACAATTATTTCAAAAGAACAAAAAAGAATTCATGAAGACGAAAAATTTGAATAATTCAGTTGTTGAATTTTTCTTAGATTTGCATTATATTTCATTTCAATTTCATAAGTTTAATAAGTACATACAACAATAATTATTTGTTAAATACATTTCAAGATACTGGAGATCAATTTTTTGTTGAAATTTGCCAAAAGAAAAGACAATGCTGCTGGATTATCATGATGCATTTTATGTGTGAATAGCAACAATGAAATAAAACTGTAATGTATATACAAGTTGTTTGAAGCATTAGAACCTATAAAATGGTATTGATTATTCATTTATGAAAAAAAATAGCATTTAAGTTGAAGATGTTGCAGGAAGAATTATGAAATCAAAATAAACTTTGAAATATATCATGCCATTTTGAATTTTCTATTCATATGAAGTAGAAGAGTGGTGCTTAGAAAATCCTGAACCATAGTTTTCTACTGTTATGGGAAAAAAAGAAATTTTAGTGTAAATGACTGTGTTTGCCACAATTGTTTTTAACCCTAGATAGCTAAACATTTATCAAATAAATGCATACTTTTTGATAATTTTGTTGGAATGTTACTATTGCACTAGAACATCTTAGAAGTTTACAAAAATTAAATTTAAAATGTTTTTGAGTCTTTCAAGCTTGGCTAACATTCTTAAATTTTTAAATTATGAAACTTCTTTCATTTGTATTTATAGTCATTTATGCAAATTGTTTATTCATAATCTTCCAGTCAAATAATTTAATTACAGAGTAACACTGATTTGGCTTTAGTTATCTAGGGTTAATTATATGAAGGACAATGTAACTTGTACTCTTAATTTTGTTAAAGTTTTGGTAAGTCATGAATTAGTCAGTGATACTAATTTTTAGTATAAGTAATTAGATTTTCTCATGGTTGATTAATTGAAATTGTTGTAATTGTCATAAGTAGAGACTTAAAGATTGAGAGTGTTAATAGTTATAATTTTTGTCATAGCTTTTCTGTTTATAAATTACCAGTTGTGAGCAAGTTAACGAGTGAATACTATAACTCATAATTTTAAAATGTGGGGTGGGGATTTACTGGTATTAGGTCTAGGTAATGCATTGGAAAATATCGTTTTGCAATCATCCCCAATCCGATGTTTGAAATGACATATTTTTCGAAGCATCATAAATTATGATGTACCTGTTATGTGTAGTGTGTTTCCTGATGCATTGTAGGCATCGATGTCTGCATGTATGATGAAGAGTATTGTTCCACTGGTTTTAGACACATGTGAAAAGCGAGTCTTTCTTTTTATAGATGTTGTCTCAATGTGCATTTTAATTTTGATATAATTACTTAATTAGAGACATAGTCTGTGGAAGGCTAATTTCTGCCGCATGTCATTTACCTGCTCTAGTTGTTCTGCCTTATTTTATTTTTAAAATGTTATGTCACTGATGTGATTTATTAATTTTTTTAAGGAATGAAAACAAATTGTTGATAACTAGACAAATTTATAGCATTTTGTTAGGTAATTGAAAATTAAGTTTATTACAAAAATCAGACAAAAAGTGCATTAATTTTAAATTTATTCAATTCCCAAATTTATATCATTGATATAACAAAATATCACAATGCCAAATTAATTAAAAAAGCCTATTTTTAACATCTCCCAGTTCTAGTGGGCTACTAGGTATATTTTCAAAATTCTATCTTGTAAACCAAAATATTTCTTGATCAACTAATAAATAACAATTTAAGTTGTTATTAAAGTTTATTCTGTTTTTGACAGTTTAAATTATTATTATGTGAGAAAAATATCTTGCAAAATTGCAATGTTCTGAAATTAATTATTTTGCTTTCCCTTTTTATTGCTCTGTTAGAAAGTTGTATAAATAACCTTCTAGATCATCATACAGTATACTATTTATGATTAATTCAATATTTCCTTTTAATAACTTTGTAAAAATTTTAAGTAAATACTAAGTTTTATTAATTATATTTCATTGGATTTTTATATTGAAGGATTTATGTGTGTTTCATTATTTAAAGTACATTTGCAAGGTCATTTGTTGTTTTTTAAAATAATTTTTTTTTTGAAAGTTTATTTCATTTGTAAGTAGTAAGATGATGAAAAATTATCCTTTGATTAGTGTTGAGAATTTATTATCATTTAAATTAAAACTCAGCAAATTTTTGGTTGAAAACTCTTCATGACGTTTGGTACCATTTGAATAAGTTGATTTATATTGAAATAAAAGTTGCAATTCGTTGATATTGACTTCATTTAATTATTGTTTTAAAGGAAATCCTGTCATCAAAAATATTATTGTCCCATACAATGATAACAAGATTAATCCATTTTATGAGGATATTATAAAAAGCATAAACTCCCTTTTGGTATGAGCAGATGAGATAAAACGAAACTGAGATATATTTTTACAGTAATTTTTTTTTTTTTGCCTGTTTGTTCATTCTCTATTTTTTACTTTCTATTCTTGCTAAGTGAAAAAACTTGTTTTCCATTGCATCTATCATGGAAAGGAATAACCTGTTTCCATAGCAATCAATATCAACTTGTATGGTGGCAGGATTTTTCTTCTTGATACAAAGTGTTAACAGATTTTTTCCCCTTTTAAATATATATGTTTTTCTATTTTTTAGGCACCCTTTGCAAGGGCATATATTACTTATCAAAAAAATGAAGAAGCTCTGAGAGCTTTAAAATTATTTGAAGGTGTAGAATTTGAAGGGAGAGAGCTCAAATTATCCCTTGGTACTACTAAATATTGTAGCAGTTATATCAAAAATGTAACCTGTGTAATGAAAGTAAGTGTTCCTTTCTATCTATCTATATTATTTCTCTCTCTTTACATATATATACGT